ATCACCTGTAAATAAACTGCACTTGGGTTCTTCACTACGCTCGCCTTCAGTGGACTTTCGTTACACACATCTAGGATTCTAACTGACGATGAAGAATTGACAGCACAGCCATCAAGTGTTAGACAATGTTCTAGATTATTACATGCAGAGGTTTTTGGTCCGATAATTAACACCTGTTTTTTCAGAATTTAGTAGTAGGAAATTACTAGTCATCCCGTTTTTTATATCAGCTATGCGTTCTGTTAGTTTTGCGAATTGATATGTTTCATTGGGCCGTGAAGAAATATAGAGTTGAGTGCCATCAGCATAACAGTGAAGGCTAACTAATCACCATGTTTCCTGATGGTATCTCCCAAGGATAGCATGTAAAGCGTGAAAAGCAACGGCCCTAGTTGGAGGTCGACCGATGTATCTGTTTTGCCAATTAATCGGCACTGATAGTTGATTTCTGGAACTATCGGCTGTGGGCAAAAACCCATGGCCATGCCGATAGTTTTTCCGGGTTGCGTCCGTTGCTGGAGTAACTGAGAAGCTCAGCTGTCATTATACAGTATGAGAGTGACCTCTAGAGGCGGAATCACTGACAGCACGTGCTGTTTGTTTTGACACGACACTGCGCACTAGGGCTGTCAAAAAAAAATTTGAATTTCGAATATTCGTCGAATTTAAAATAAAAATTCACATTCGAATGCAAAAACGTTGCATTCGAATTTTAGGTGTGCGTCAGGCAGCCTTATCAGTGGCACATGAAATGCGACGACGATGTAAGTGTCGTTGCATTTTAATGCTTTTGTTAGCCTGTCCATTTGAACCCACTGGAATGTGGCGCTGCTACATTGTTCATTCAAAATATTGCAGAATTAAACATTATTTTAAACATTATGCACTTTTTTCAAAGATAGTCGTGTTATTTTTTTTATGCTTTCAAGAAACGTGCATAATATTTTGCTCGATGTGGCCTCAGGAGAGAAGCCAACAGCTTTTTTCCCCTAACTGAAATTATGCCTTTTTAAATTAGAATATAATTCGAATATTGATAATATTTAAGTAAAAAAATTCAAATGTAGTTTTTGATCCATTTTGACAGCCCTACTGCGCACTGCACAGAGCAGGACACTTCATGTGCGGATTTAAATCATCGACAACTAAGCAGTGTGTACACTACACAGTATATAGAAGTGCATGTTTTCATATTATTACGAAGTAATTAATTTATTGACTAGATACTGCATTAGTGGAGAAAGAACAGCAGTATGTTTGCTATTAAGGCTGAGAGGACGCAAACACCTCAAGCGGTTAAAACAATGTGACCAAAACACATGCAAGTCTGACCCAAATGCTTGTCACTATTGTTACCATCTATTTGCGTTAGTTTACTGTATATCCACCTGGTCACATTAAAGGGGTCATATGACTTGTAACACTCCAAAGAGAAAGGAAAACTTGAAATCACATCATATGACCCCTTTAATGCATTTGTTAGCCAATGAAGTTGCAGATTTAAAGCTGTGAAGTGAGAAAGCAAACTGATATGTTCATTCAGCGACAGAAATCCTGCAGCGCCATTATATATATATTATATATATATATATATAGAGAGAGAGAGAGAGAGAGAGAGAGATATATAAACATT